TTGGCCTAGTGGACAGAAAGTGATGCTGCCAAGCCAAAGGTGGGTGACTTAATCCGTGGCCCTCGAGCCTGTTTTTCATTGTTTTTGTTCAAACATTCTTCTAGGTCGTATAGCCCTGGTGTGTCCACTTGCTCTACAGAGGTAACTTGTGGTTGCAGTGAAGCTGATCCAGTGTCACATGTGTTAATGGTCACCCGTGGTGGACAGTGTTTGGTGGAGCTCCCCAATTAAAACAAGCTTGGAAGCAGGAGTGGCATCCACTTCCATAATAGCTTGCCTCTGGAAACCCTATGAGCCTAGAGAAACGATGAAAGTTATACAAGTATAGAGGACTTTCATTCATAGGGTTGCTGTGAGTTGCCTGTGACTCGATGGCACTTAACAAGATAAGTTTGCATGTAGAAAAATTTTAGTGTGGCTACTAGGGTGGAGGGGGAGTAGAAAATTAACGAATCGATAGTTCTTGTCATTGTGTGCGGAATTGGAACCGACCCATAGCTGACCTCTGGTGGGTTCCAGAGGGTGTAAATCACACGGAAGAAATTGCCCAGTTGAATGAAGGGAACAACAATATGGAATGAATGGATAATCAGGCATTGTGATTAAAATTAGAGAACAAAATTTTCATGGGTGATTAAAAACCTATGTTTTGTAAAATTTCCATTCAAATCACAATTTAAAAAATAAGTGAAATGCATTGGATATTGGTGATACAAAAATTCTCTGTTATTTCATATTATGTCATATGGAAACTTGCTTTTGCTTTGAACTGATAGTTTAAATATAGCAGACTAGATCTTAGTAAGGAACTTTTCTATATAAAATAATAGATATTGGCAGAGCAGGAAAAAAATTATTTTATATAGTTAAAAGCACCTGAAAACTATTAATATTGATGGTACATAAAAGGAAGTGATAGGAAATTTTTTTAAGAAAATAAAGGATGTGTTATCTTTTAGAAGTACTGAAAGTTTCTCACATCTGCTTCTGGCATCTACCTTTCACATTGAACGTTACTTTTTTTTTTGAAGCAGGGTTTGTGTGTGTGTGACTTTAATAACAGTTGAGAAAAAGAAAGGGTGGGTTTTGATTCATTCATTAATACATATTTTCCGTCCTTCCCACCTCTCCCTAATCTCTCTGTAATGCATGTCTTGTCCCCTTTGTCTATTGCCATCCACACAGTATGTATGTCCCCTCCCTTCTCCCATTCCTATGTAGTGTTCATAACCTATCCATTCTTCTCCCTCCCTCGTGCCTGTTCTGCCTTCATAACAGTGGTTCTATGCAGTATTTATCCTTTTGTCACTGAGATACCTCACTGAACATAATGTCTTCTAGACTTACCCATATTGTATAGTGTTTTACAAGTTCCCTGTTTTTCAGTGCTTCATAATATTCCATATATTTATGGACACATTGCAGTTTTTCTATCCATTTTTGGACAAGCACTTGGGCTGCTCCCGTCTTTCTACTATTGTGAAAAATGGTGCAGTAAACATGGTGGGCATACATCTCTCTGCGTCACAGGCTCTAGGGTCTATCCTAGTAGTGGTATAGCTGAATCTCTATTTCCAACTTTTTGAGAATGCACCAGGCTGCCTTCCATAGTGGTTGCACCGTTTTACGTTTTCAGCAGCAGTCAATCAGAGTTCCAGTGTCTCCACATCCTTGCCAGCGTTTGTTGTTTGCTGCCCTGCTCAACTTTGCTCTGGTTGCTGGGGTGAGATGATAGCTCACTATTGCTTTAATTTACATCTCTCTGATACTTAAGGATTTTGAATGTTTTCTTCATGTGTTTGTTGGCTTTCTGAATTTCTTTGGTGAAGTGTCTATTCCTATTTTGTGCTCATTTTGTGAGTAGGCTGTTTGCCTTTTTCTTATTGAACTATTAGAGTATACGGATACATTTTAGATATGAGTCTCTTATCAGATAATGACATTGCCAAATATTATTTTCTCTGTCTGCAGGCCTCCTTTTTACCCTGTTGGAGAAGGTTTTTTATGTGCATAGGGATTTGGTTTTTAGAAGGACTCATCTGTTTTATCATCTCCTGGCTATAGGGTTTTCATTATGCTTGGAAGTCTATTCATGCCATGGATAAGGGCTTCTAGAGTGTTCCTGGTTTTTCTCTGATGAACGCCATAGACTTGGGTTTTACTCCTAGGTCCCTGACCCACCTTGAGCCTTCCCTGTCCTGGGCCAGTCTCACTGACTCCAGCACATGCCCCCATTACCCTAGTTACTGTGTCAATCCGTCTCATCTCTCCTCCATTGTCCCTTCACCCTTCTGAGCATGATGTCCTCCTCTGAGGACTGGTCCCTCCTGGCCACATGTCCAAAGTATGTGAGACGGAGCTTCAGAATCCTAGCCTCCAAGGAAAAATTTGATTTTACCTTCTCCAAGACAAGCCTATTTTTTTCTTTTTCTTTACAGTGCCTGGTATGTTCACGATTCTTATCCAGCACCAAAACATAAAGGCATCAATTCTTCTGTCATCCTTAGTCATTACCCAACTCTTTGATGCATAGGAAATAATCGTGAAGACCATGGCCTGGATCAGGCACGCCTTGGCCTCTAGACTGACGTCGTTGTTTCTCAGTACTCTGAAAGGGCCCTGGCAGCAAATTTACCTAATGCATTTGCTCTTTTGATTTCCTGACTGCTGGTGTCAAGAGTGTTGTTAGTGGAGCCGAGCAAGCTGTAACTGGTCATGGATAGGAAGACTTAATATTATAAAAATGACACTTCTACCAAAAGCAAACTACAAGTTCAGTGCCAGCCCAATACAGATACCAATTCTGTTCTTCAACAAGATGAAAAAGAGAATTTCCAGTTTTGTCTGAACATAACTTGTAGTGAACCAGGGCTGTCCCTTCTATGTGGAATGCCCCTCCTTACTTCCTCTGGTACCCCTCCTCCCTTGGTCCTGGCTTAAATGTCACGTATTGTGAGAAGCTTATCAAACCCACCTCCCCAGATGCTATTTCCCAACTTTCTACACCGTCCCTGTTTAGATTAAGACTTGTTTATCCTCATACTCTCTACACCACTTTGAAATGTTCAAATGTACAGCAGCTCTGAAGCCTGCCCTGTCCCAGGCCAGTCTCAACTGACTCCAGCACCTACTCCCATTGCGCTAGTTACTCTGTCAATCCGTCTCGTCCAGGGTCTTCCTCTCCTGCACTGTCCCTTCACCCTTCTGAGTATGAAGTACTTCTCCAAAGACTGGTCCCTCCTGGCCACATGTCCGAAGTGTGTTTGTAGATACCTGGTTGTAAATACCAGTTCAGTGTTTGTTTACCTCCCTCTTCCTTAGGTTGATAAGCATAGGATCTGTGAGTGTATCTTATGTAGAATTCTGTCCTCAGTGTTTAGCACAAGACCTAGGAAATACTAGGTAACAAGTCATTGCTGTGTGTTATCGGGCAGATCCTGTCTCTAGTGATCCTGTAAGAGAAGCCCAGTGCAGTCCCCTAGGTTGTAATCTTTATGGGTCGCTGTGCCCAATGCTGTAACGGTTACCTGTGGTGGACAGTGTTCGGTGGAGCTCCCCAAGTAGAACAAGCTTTGAAGCAGGCGTGGAAGCAGGAATAGCTTGCCTCTGGAAACCCTACGAACGTGGGGAAACGCTGAAAGTTTTATGAGTGTTCAGGTCTTCCGTTCATAGGGTTGCTAGGAGGCGTCTACAACTCAACGACACTTCACAAGAAGAGTCATTTAGTGCTGTGAGTCTCAGGCTCGTCGATGGCACATAACAACAACAAAAGTCTTGATGGGGCCTGATCATCAGTCTTTTCTCCGTCAGAGCCATGGCTGCAGATGGGTTGCAGCCATCCAGATCTAAGCAGTTAATCATTGTAGTACTCGGGCACCTTAGCTCATGAATTGTTGCTGTGAGGTGCCATCAAGTTGACTAGAACTCACTGCAGCCCCACAGCAGATCTGACCCTTGCTCTGGCCTGAGCCGTCCTCACCGTCCCTGCACAGACCCATGCTTACACCGCTGTGTTAGACCATCTTGTTGAAGATCTTCCTCTTTCTCACCAACATTTCACTTTTCCTCACATGATGTCAGAGATAAGAAATAGTACTTAACACATTCATTCCCTTAAGTATTATGCTCCACTTTATTTACTTTGTTTCTCTGAACTCTTATTTGCTATTACTTAGTAATGGATCTTCCCATTAGAGTAGAATCGCTATAATTTTTGACATAAATAAATGAGTGACTTGAACAACCCTAACTTGGAATGTTCCTGGTGCTGTAAGTGTTTGGGGTGTTTCATCGTAGCATCTCAGATGCTGGCTGGCACATATGCTGCCAGCTCATGTCTTCCACAGTCAAGAGCATCTACAGGTGTTCACTCACTCTTCTGGTTAGTTCTGGAAATGCCCATAGAGACAGTGCAGAGTTGTTGTGATGTGCCGTTGGATTGGAACTGACTGACAGCTGACACTCCGGTGGGTTTGCAGGGGTTGGAAACCAGCCAGCAGGAGCTTGTCCTTTCTCCACGGAGCAGCTGGTGGGTTCACGTGGCGGCCTTTGAATGGGCAGCACAGCTTCTGGACCACTGGGGCCACCAGAGTTCTCTGGATACGCGTCCTGGTGCCAGAATAGCAAGAGTGTGTGAGCCATGTCACAGTAAGGACACAGCTTCATTGTCGTCATTGACCTGCTTTTTCCTTCCGGTTTTTACTTTTAGAAGGATACATTTATTTTACTGATTCTTGTTTGTAAAGTCTCAAATTAGTAGCTTATACATAGGATTTATATTTTTGTGGATCAACAAAGTAAAACATAGACAAATAGTTAAAATTTATCTTTTCACATTTCCTGTTAAAACTAATCTGTTATTATTATGTGGTTGTGATACACATTGTCTATTGTTACCTACCTGATCTGTTATACAGTAAATCAGAAACATTTTCTAGGACTTTGAAGTTGTATATGTTTACTTTTCTGCTCATTAGACGATGCATCTTGTTCTTTTCCAGTTCAAACGATACGTCAATAAACTTCGAAGTAAAACTACCGTTTTCAAAAAGAAGCATCAGATAATAGCTGAATATAAAGCGGAATTCGGTCTCTTACAGAGGACAGAGGAACTTCTTAAGCAACGTCATGAGAATATCCAGCATCAACTGGTAATACAGTATGATCTTGGGTTGCTAACAGTCCAGGTGCTTGGAGGGTTACGGCATGCAGTTTTATACTGAAGTCTGTGATTTTACGGGAAAAGTAACAAATGATTCATTTTCTCTGATTAACTAAAGAGACGCCATGTGAACGGATCCAATTGTTCTGATTGTGGCAGTGAGCCCTGACTGCTTTATGAGTGCTAACTTTAGGGCTATTAATAGACATTTCATTTCAAATGGCTTTTCGTTGAGCCAGGGGAGATGAAGGTTAGGTGGTTAATGTAAGTAGTTTATATTACCAAGAGAATAACAGTAAAATATGTACTTATTTTACATGGGATGCTGGACAAAAATTTCTTAGCAGCCCCTTCCAGGAGCTTTAGAAAAACATATCCAGGCCAGGATCTACGTAGAAGTTACCTGCAGACTTGTTTCTTGGTCCCGAGGCCTTGGGCGTCAGGAGGCAGACCCTGGAGTCCCTCCCCTACGTGGCCGTCCAGTTGACAGGCCCAGGTACCGTGCTTGCTTGGTCTGGGGAAACCATTTCATCAGGATGCTGGTTTACAGCTAGCAGTAATCCCTCCAAGGGCAGTGACATGCCAGCTGGTGACAGGAGCTTCTCTGTGTCATGCGGTTGAGTGTTGTCACTGTCTAGAAGACCAGAAGTTACTGTGCATTAAGCATGGGTGCCACCAGGCGCTACACTGTAAGGGTGAGTCCCAGCCGGACTGTGGTAATGAATGAGCCGTGGCAGGAGTCGAGCTGCAAAGGCTGGTTTGCATCCACCGGCGTCCCTGGGGGAGAAAGATGGGCGTTCTCCTCATACGCGATCACTGTCTTGAACCCACTTCTGACTTCTAAGTTATGGGTTGTGGGATTCAGTAAGTACGTCACTGTTGACATCAGAGTACTTTCTCATTTCCTCTGTGGGTTATTGTTCGTCTCCTAACACTAGGGAGCTTCTGTCGCCTTCCCTTGGCAGTTGATTGTTCTTTCCCCTGTGAACCTGTCCCTCACGTTCCCCGGGACACTCTACCCTCTGGTTTTCTCCCCCGACACTCACCCTCACGTGTGTGCACCATTCTGGATTGCTTCTCACAGCTTCACAAGCACTGCAGTTCCCCAGGGTTGGCCCTCGGAGCCCTCCCTGAGGCGATCTTGTTCTGTTCCCTGGATTTACCAAGTCCCATCTCCAGCCTAGGTTTCTCCTTGATTTTCACCCTGGTATAGCACATTTTGACATCCCCATTGAGATGTCTGATAGACAGCTTCTGATGTCATCCACCCCTCCACCCTGTTCTTTTCCAGTCTTCTCCCTAACAAGTGGCAGCTCCGTCCTGTCAGGTCTCCGTCCGGATCTGTTTGAGTTGTCACCCCTCTGCATCTTATCTGTCGCAGTGGATCTGCCTTCAAAATAGACACGAACCACTTCTCCCCACCCACCCCGTCACCCTGGTTCCACTGTGTCATCTCGGGTGAATTGGTGACTCCTCGCTAACCTCGCCTGTGTCACCTCTGCCCTTGTGTATTCTGGTCTCGGCATAGATGCCCAAAGCAGTTATTTTAGAAATTCCTTCATGCTGAACCCTCCCGTGGCTCCTCGCCTCATTTTAAATACATCACAGCGGTCTCATTGGTCTGAAAATAGGGCAGTGTTATACTTTGTCCTCTAAAGTAGGACATTTTCCCGAGTGAACGAGGTAATCAACATCGGCTGTGGACTGCCCCAGCAAACTCGCCGAGCCTTGGGTGGCCACGCTCACTCCTCCTCCGGCACAGTGGCCACCTCGGTTTCTAGGACAGGCTGGGGGTGCCCCTGCCTTGACTCACACCCCTCCTGACCACCGGGCCCCTGTGGAGCGCACTGCCCTCTTCTTGCAGGCCTCTGCTCAAGTCACCTCAGAAAGACTTTGTCTAACCCCTTGGTATGTAAGACGCCATCTCCACCCTCACCTCACACTGCGTGTTTTATTTACCTCCTTACATTTTGTGTTACCCCCACTAGAGGTAAGCACAGTGAGGAAGAAGAGCTTCTCTTTAAAAAAAAATAAAATTTCATTTTATAGTGATTACTTATAAAGTTCATACACATTCTTTTTCCATCAGATCTTTCCCCTGTCCTATACCCACCGGTCCCTCCACCGATTAAATTGTGTGACCCTATGATTAAGCACACCCCTTGGATTGTTCTGCAACAATGGTTTTGCACAGTTTATTTTTATGAGACTGAGTTAGTTCACTTAGCATAATGCTGTCCAGTCCCTCCCATACTAAGTACTAACTTAAAAAAACATTGCTCCTGCATGCTGCATAGTATTCCATCATGTGAATGTACCATCATTTCTCATTCCATTCCTTTGTGGTTGGGCATTGGGGCTGTTTTCCATGTTCTTGTGATAGTGACTAAAGCTGCTGTGCACACTGGTGTACAAGTCTCCATTTGTATCTCAGTTCTAATTTCTTTGGGGTATATTCCTGGTAGTGCAATAGCTTGCTCATTTGGAATTTCTATGTTCAGCTTTCTTTCCCTTAATTTTAATGAACATTTACAGAGACTTTGGATTTCTATTCATTCATTGTTGCACTTTTCTCCCTGCCCACCCCTCCCCTCAGTTCACTCTTCTCTTTGAAAAGTAAAAGAAAAATTCTTTCATTGTTATGCAACCCCTCCCCCGAAGTCCGCTCCACTATGCAGTCTTCGTTCTGGACTCCTGTCATAACAATAATATCTAACCATATATACCTTTTAAACAGTTCTCTCTCTCATCTGTTGCAATGCAGTATACATAATTTATCTCATCTTTCTCAGTCTCCCCCCAACCCCAATGTCAGTCCCATTTTACAACAGTGGCACTATGCAGTATTTGTCCTTTTGTGACTGAGATATTTCCCTCAGCATAATGTTCTCCAGGGTCACCCATTTGGTATAATATGTCATGAGTTCCTTGTTTTTCAATGCAGCGTAGTATTCCATTGTGTGAATATACCACACCTTCTCTGGTTGTTTCCAACTCTTTGCTCTTGTGAACAAAGCTGTGATAAACATGGGTGTGCATATATCTGCTTGGGTGGCAGTTATGATTTCTTTGGGGTATATTCCCAGTAGTGGAATTGCTGGGTCAAAGGGTATTTCTCTTTGTGACTTTTTGAGGAAGCGCCACACCGCCTTCCACAGTGCCTGCACCATGTTACACTCCCACCAGCATTGAATAAGGGTTCCAGTTTCTCCACAGCCTCACCAGCATTTGTTTGCTGTTCTGTTAAATTTTGCTATTCTGACTGGGGTGACATGATAGCTCATAGTTGTTTTGTATGTTCAGCTTTTTGAGGACACGCCAACCTGCTTTCCAGAGTGGTTGTACCATTTTACAATCCCACCAACAGTTGTATAAGAGTTCCATCTCGCTACATCCTCTCCAATATTTTTACTTGCTTCTCTGCTAAGCTTTGCCACTGCCACTGGGATAAGACGGTATCTCATTGTGGTTTTGATTTACATCTCTCTTGTTGCCAGTGATTTGGAGCATTTCTTCATGTCAACCATCTGAATGTCCTCCTCTGTGAAAAAGTGTTTCCTTGTCTTTTACCCATTTTGTAATTGGATTATCAGTCCTTTTCTTCTGGAGGCCCTGTAGGATTCTGTAAACTTGCGTTAGGAGACCCTTGTCTGAGATGGTAAAGCCAAATGTTTGTTCCCAGGTTTTCTTTTCACCTTGTTGGAAGAAGGTTTTGATGAGCACAGAGATTTAATCTTTAGAACGTCTCAATCAAGTTTATCCTCTCCAGATTGTGCATTTCTGGCCAAATTTGGCAGTCCCTTTCCACTGTAGACCAGGCTCTCTAAGCTTGGTCCCGGTTTGTCTCTGATGGGCTTTCCTCCCAGGTCTCTAACCCACCTTGAGTTGCTTCTCGTGTGTGGTTGAGAGGTGGGTCCTGTTTGAGCGGCGGCGTTTCTGGGAGGTGGGACTGAGTGGATGGCAGTGAGTGAGCCCAGTCGACCCCAGCTCGCGGCCGAGTCGACCCCAGTTCGCGGAGCGGCCCTGCTGAGTGCCCACGGCTCTCACTCTCTGCGGGAGGAAATTGCCAGCCTTCTCTCACTGTTAGCAGCCCGGCATTTACCCCGGTCCTGCCAGGGCTCCTTCGTCACGTTTAACCCACAGAAACTCTCTGCCACGGTCGACTCCAGGCCGGGAAGGCCCTCTGAGACTGTCGGGCTTATTTTTTTTTTTTAAGGAAATGTGTTGCCTCTTTTCTGTCAACCTTATTTCCACCTTTAAAAGACAAAAAGACAGCTTAAGGCCTCTTGGTGGGTGTGCCGACCCACTGAGTGGCCTGAGCAGTGGGGGCCGCAGACCAGTCTGCAGGCGGGAACCGCTGACTAGGCACAGAGGGCCCCTGCATGCCTGCGGGCCAGCGTGTGACCTCAGACTGAGCAGCCGGCCCTCCTCCCTCTGGCTCCTCCCCGGCCAGAGACTGTCTGTCGTCAGGGGGACTGACCGCCTTTGCTTTCTCCCCTGGAGCGGCTTCTCCATGAGCAGCCCAGCACTTCCCCTGCTGTGCCACCATGTCACATTTAGATGTTTGCTGATTCTGTTTGGAGTGAATGGGTACAAGTGCTGTTCATTTGGGAGGTGAATCCCCCAGCAGGTGGGCACGCTGTTCTAGGTTCAGTGGTCAGTGTGGGGCATTGGTGACCTGGCGGTAAGGAGCTGACCCATCAGCCCTGAGGAACATGGTTGGAATCGGTCAGCCGCTCTGCGGGAGCGAGACGGGCAGTATCCTCCTGTGAGATTTACTGTGTGAAAACCCGCAGGAGAGTCAACTGTAAATTCTTACCCTGGATCTGAAGATACCATAATAAAGCTCAGTGTAGATTTATAACCTATGAAACATAGAATTATGATTCACTCCAATAAAGATTTTACCCCAAGATTGTCAATGAAATGCTTTCATTTAAAATTGCCAGCAGGTATTAAATCTATATACATCTTATGGGAGTCATCAAGCCCCCATCAAGGCTTTTCCTCTCTTTACATACAGCAAACCATTGAGGAGAAAAAGGGTGTATCCGGATACAGTTACACCCAAGAGGAGCTGGAGAGAGTGTCAGCGCTGAAGAGCGCAGTGGATGAGATGAAGGGCCGGACCCTCGATGACATGTCCGAGATGGTGAGACGCAGCGGGCGACAGCACTGGGCGGTGATTCGAGGTGGTGCCACAGGCGGCCGCTGTTTGCGTGGGTTTCGTGTTCTGGGACACATTCGGACTCCTCATTGCCGCATGTTTGTCCTCTGAGGGCACCGTCCACTGCAGGTCACCCACTGACCCAAAGGCTGACTTCCCTGGCAGCTCTTCAGAGAAGCAGAGACAGCCTTGGCCTGTCGTCATAACAGCCCAGAAACCTGCTGGAGGCTTGCTGTGAGTCAGATGGCAAGGACAGAGCTGTCAAGTCAGTGCCAGCCCAGAGGGACCCCATAGAACGGAGCTCATAGGGACCTCATAGAGACCTTGTAGAACGAGGCCCATTGGGACCCCGTAGAACAGAGCTCACAGGGACCTCATAGACTGGAGCTCATACGGAGCGCATAGAGACCCCATAGAACAGAGCTCCTGGGGACCCCGTAGAATGGAGCACATAGGGACCCCTAAAATGGAGCTCCTAGAGACCACATTGAACGGAGCTCCTGGGGACCCCATAGAAGGGAACTCATAGGGGCCCCGTAAATGAAGCATACAGTGACCCCGTAACAGGGAGTGGTTAGGGACATCATGAAACAGAGCAGAACTCTTTGCTGGAATCAGTCTCTTTTGAAAGTTTTCTTTCTATTCTAGTAGCTTTAGGAGCCCTGCTGGTCCTTGGGTTAAACATTGGACTGCTAACTAAAAGGTTGGCAGTTTGAACCCCACCGTAACTACATGAGAAGGATAAGACAGTCTGCTGTTAGGATTTACCTCTCTGAAGCAGCTCTGCTCCGTCCTACAGGGCTGCTATGAGTTGAAATCAACTGGAGGGAAGTGGATTTTTAAGGTTATTTTATTTCTAATAGTTCATGCACTTACATATTTTTAAAAAATATAAAAGTTATATTTTTATGACAAAACTTTTTTTTTTCACATCCTATCACCCTAGCAATAGTTATTTCATTTTGGGGTGTCAGTGTCTGTTCCTGTTCTGGGTGGCTGTTCAGAGCACTCAGGCACCCCGGGCTTGTTGTCCCTTGTCACTAGGTCTGTGCTGCCCCGTATTCCCTGGGTGCTTCCTCTGGTGTCTGTCGGTCACGCTGATCACCCATCCAGGAGGCCCAGGCGTCACTGCCGTGCACAGCAGAGGCTCCCAGACCCTGCTTGTTGGTGGCTGTGTCCGCCCTGATTGGCTGACACCTGTGCTATCTAGTCTCTAAGTAGTTTGAATATCATGATACCCATGTCTGTGTGGGTACAAGTGATACAATCGTAGCTCGTGTTTGATGTCATGTGGCATAATAGCACGTACATACAGACAGCTTTGTGATGTGTTTTATTCATTCAATATTAGATTGGAAATACTTTGCCATGCTAGCCCAAAGTCTTGGTAATTGTCATTTAACAGTTTTTGTTGTACAAAAAATACAGATAAGATTTGCCATTTTGAACATTTTTCAGCGTACCTTTCAAAAGCATGAATAATATTTACAGTGTTAAGTAACTAGTATCACGGCTTTGACAAGCACTGTGGCATTTGGACAAGATCAAACTGGGAGGAGGGTAGAGAGAATAGTGCAACAATGAATGAGTGGAAGCCCAATATCTCTGTAAATGTTTATGAAAATTAATAAAATATAATTATAGAAAAAAAAAAGTAACTAGTATCACTACTTCCAGACTTCCCCATTATTCCAGCCAGAATTCTTTTTGCATTAAATACTGTGTGCTCATTCCTCCTCGTGGCCTGTGGTAACTGCTGGTCTGCGCCTGCCCCCACATGTAATTGGCCTGTTCTAGCTGTTGCATGCGTGGAGTTGTGCCATGTTTGTGGTTTTGTATCTGGTGTCTTTCACTGATCGTATCAGGGTTTCCCAGCGTTCCTTCATGCCACAGCATGGGTCGTTACTTCATTCCATTTTATGGCTGATACTTCAGCGCACATGTAGACCATATTTGGGCAGCTCTAGTGGCCTAGTGGGTAAGGAGTTGAATTGCAAAGTCAGAGGCCAGCAGTTCAAGGTCATCAGCCTCATTTTGTCATCAGTAACTGGAGGAGAGAAATAAATGTCTCCCCTAGTGAGGCCACCACTTGAGGCCACCACAGCCTCTGAAAACCCACCAGACGGTAGGTACGCTATGAGACTGTTGCGACTCGACGGCAGTGAGTGACCGTCTTTTACTTAGTTGTTCATGTGTTGATGGAGCTCTGGTGGCCTCGTGATGAGAATCCGCCCTGCAATCCCAAAACCACATGGTTCAAATCCACCAGTAGCTCCGAGGGAGAAGTGTGGGCGGCCTCCTCCCGTGAGATTTACTGCCTCTGAACACCCTCTGCAGTGTTGGCTGTGAGTCAGTTTCTCCTGGACAGCACACAAGAACAGTGACGTCCGTCCATTGAGGTTCACTGGGATTGATAATGCCATTTTTAGCAGCTAAATGGTTCTCTATCTTCTCAAGGACTAAAGGTTGACTAGATCACGTCTCAGTGGGTCGGCATTAAGTTTCTAGTGTTTTCACTCATATGTTGTTGTTGTTGTTGTTGTTGTTGTTATGTGCCGTCGAGTCGCCTGCGACTCATAGCGAAGTGGGTATGTATTTTTAGCTTTTCGATTTTTTTTCAAGCATTTTTGCTTGTTTGTTTAAATTCCAGGTTAAAAAACTGAACTCACTGGTGTCTGAAAAGAAGTCAGCTCTAGCCCCAGTTATAAAAGAACTACGGCAGCTGCGACAGAAATGCCAGGTAAGTGGATTTGACTCCAGGATACGTTCATCGTCAGGTTCGTTGTTGAGGTGCTCTAGTTAGTACCCTAGTTAGTATTTCACTTGGGTGATTTCTAGAAAACAAACTGTTACCATTCCTTTTATACCAGCTTTCTATGATTCTGTACAAGACAAGAGTTCTGTGACCTGTAAGGGGTTTTCTTTGGTCCCAGCTCCTCACTTTGTCATAAATTACCAAGGGGCAAAGAGAGAAGAAAGGGGTTTCAGCTGCTCCTCCCACGTGAAGCCACATGCGTTTGCTTTTCAGTTGTGAGCTGTCAGCCTTCTCTGCAGCCTCCTCTTGGTGGGCAGCTCCTCGCCTCTCCCACCTCCCCAGGAGGCTCTGAAGTGGAGAGCGTTGCTGCAGAGACTTGAACACGCACTCCTGCAGAGCTCACGAAAGTGCAAATGCCCGTTCAGTAAGTCTCGTCCTCACTGCCGTGCGTGAGAGCCGGCCGGTGAATAGGGGTGACGGAAGAAGACCTGGTGCCTTTGAGCTGTGGGGACAGAGAAGAGCCCTGACTGTCCCGTTGACTGCCGGAGGAACAGCTGGGTCTGTCGTGGAGAGAGCGCAGTCGGGATGCTTCTTACAGACAAGGACGGTGAAACTTCACCTCACGTATTCTGGGCGCCTTGTTAGGTGGGACCATTCCTTGGAAAGGGCCTCATGCTTGGACAGACAGAGGGTCAGCCCAAGAGAGGAAGACCGTCGACAGGATAGTTTGATTGGCGCAGTGACTGTAGCAATAGCATCAAGTACGTCAGCGTGATGAGGGTGACACAGATGGAACAGGGCTCGGATGTGCGGTGGACTGGGTCATTATGGGTCTTACTCAACTTGATGGCCCCTGACAACGGCTGTCTTGAGGGAGCTCTTGTGACCTAGTGGTATGAAGTTGTGCAGCTCACCCACAGGCAGGCGGTTCAAGTCCACCAGCTGTCCCGAGGAGGGAAGATGGGCAGCCTCGTCCTGTGTCATTTGCAGTCTCTGAAAACTTATTGAAGGGTCAGGTGTGAGTCGTTCTGACATGACAGTACATAACAACAACAACAGTTGTCTTGAGGGAGCTCTGGTGGCCTGGTAGGTAAGGAGATGTGCTGCCGAGCCAAAGGCAAGTGGTTTGAATCCACCAGCTGCCCCACAGGAGAAATGTGAGCAGCCTCCTCCTGTGAGATTTACAGCCTCTGAAAACCGGCTACGGGGTCAGCTATGAGTCGGTTCCTAGTTGATGGCGTTCAGTTTGAGGGTTTTTTCCGTTCCTTTGAGCTCTCAAGTGACCTGGTGTTTCATTGACCGTACCTGGAGCAACAAGAGCCAATGGAAGTCTTTCTGTGACTCCACGAGCTTTCGGAGGCGCGGCTGGGTGCAGACCCAAGCGGAAACCAGCTCGTTCGTCCCGTCTTCACGAGCCTGGGAGGCAGCCCTGTCCATCCGTCACTCTGTGCCAGGCTTTCCGGGTGTATCCAGGGGCCAGCTACACACCACACGTGACTTCTGTTGTTGGGTCGGAAAGCTAAGAGCAGTGAGGATAGACCCTGACGCTGTGGGGCGTGATCAGGACTGAGTCGGCTGCTGGCAGCTGGTTATGCCGCCTGCATGGAAGCTTGCTGACCCCTCCGCCGTGAAAATCCAGATAGCTAGAGTTTTATAGGAAACTGCATACAGTTGTCCTCTGCTTCTGGTTAAATGTTTTTAAATGCTGTGCTAGGAAACAGCCCAGATCGCCGCGCTCTCTCGAGCACAGAGCTCAGGTCCTGCTCACGGCTGGCATGACGGACGTGCCTTCGGTCCTCCGTTTCTACAAGCAGCCTTGTGTCACCTGCATAGCACAGGTTGTTGATGGCAACATCATTAATAAACATCAACATTACTTTTTAAAAACTATCAGAAAGGAGCACAAGCAGTGGACGGGGAGTCGCGCTGCCACCCTACAGGGGAGCCATTTGGACCCCCCAGCTACTCGTCAGAGAAAGGGGCAGTGTTTTCCTGTGTGGTTTATCGGTTCAGTTTCTGTGAGTACTGGTGGCAAATTAGACTTAGAAGTGTTATGGCTAATACAATTCTGTATTTGTAAAAGAATGTATAATTTGAACTAGGCTAAAGTCTTTTTTCCCCCTAGAAATTACGTTGTTGTTGATTGCCTTTGAGTGGACACAACTCCTAGCGACCCTGTGAGCAAAAGGCCTGAAGCCTTTCTGTAACTGTCGACTTTTATCAAAGTTCATGGAGTTTGCAGAGGCGTGTTGTTGAGGAAGCGTATGCCACTCCTGCTTCTAAAAGAAAGTACCTTGCATACAAAGAATCATGTGGAAACAGAGATTGAGTGAAGCCTTTTCTGGCCACTTTTAGGCAAAAAAATAAAATCCATCCATCATATGCAGGTGAGAAGGTAGATGTGAAGTCGCATTCCCCTGTGGCAGGTAAAGGTCAGAGGGTCCTGTGTGGTGCCTCGTTCTCCGTAGACTGATGAGCTTCTCGGGGATGGGGTGGGGGTGTAAAAGATGACCATTGGTGAGGAGGGAGACCAGTCCCTGGAAACCACCTCTAACCGGTGTTCTCAAGAAGAGCTGTCAGGTGAATGGCCACCGCAGAGGCGCCAGCGGGCCTCGCACTGTGATGTTGACAGCTGTTAAATCTCACTGTCCATGGAGTAGTTTTAGTGTTGAGTACGAGCTTATGTACTGCATGTGTCGGAGGATAGAACTAAAAACCTTCGCACATGCTACCCCTCAGTCAGAGAGGCGGAGAGCAGCTACGCCGACTCTGAAGTCTGATGGCCACCATCCTCTACAGAACACAGCAGAATCTGAGACATTGTGTCTGGGTGGACAGGGGCCAGTGGGAGCAGACGCTGGAGCCCGGACTTCTCCTGTCTCGCTAACGTTTGTTCTGTTACGCATCCCTACCGTCTCACAGGAAATGGAAAAGTCACATCCTGGGCTCCAGAGTCCATAGGCTCACCCGTACAGGGTGCACCTGGGAAGGCTGGGGGGGCAGCTCAGCTCTGCCAAGGATGCTTGTAGGCTAAGCCGGAATTGATTCAATGACTGTGAGGGTTTTCAGTAAGCTAATAAGAACTCTCTAAGTGGTTTTAAACAAATGAAATCCATTTGCATTTTTAATGTTTCCATTTATTAATAATATAACATTGGTGCTTTTAAAAATCCATTGATTTTCTTTGACACTATCTGAATTCCAAGGAACAGCATATCACTTGGGCTAATTCAAATATAGGGTTTTATTCAAGGATACTAAGAGCACTAAAGGAAGTGTACTATCACAGAAAGCCAAAGATTACAGCTTTGCATTATAACAAAACAGATACAGCCATTTTAGCCAGAAAGCATTTTGGTCCAGGGGTGCTTGAGGGACTTGAGCAGTCGGCGTTTGTGGGTGCTGATGATGTATATAATATAATACTGTTGTCGGGGACCATAGAGTTGGAACCGACCCACAGCTGACCCTCCGGCGGGTTTTCAGAGGCAGTTAATCGCACAGGAGGAGATGGCCCACCCTCCTGTGGAGCAGCTGGTAGCCTTGAACCCCGTCCCTTAGGAATTGCCACGTGTCTTCTGGCCACTAGGCCAGTAGATCTCCCTCCTAGCAGCTATAAACTGTTTCTGTGTGCCAGGCGCTGTCACAGCTCGGTAAGTTAGGGACTCCACAAACAAGCATGTGAAGGCCCCGAGCCCCGAGGGACTGTCCCAGGGTCACAGCTGGTGAAGGGCAGGACCAGTCTTCACACTCACACTGTGCCAACCCATGGCTTGGATCTCTTTGTTTCTGCTACCCGCTCTCTCTCTGCCACCGGCCAATAAGTAACCGCTCTTTTCTCTTAGCTTCCTCTTTGGATTAGAGAGTTCTGGTGGCCTAGTGGGTCAGGAGCTGCACTGGCAGCCCTAACACAGCTGCTCCGCAGGCCAGAGCTGGGCTGTCTTCTCAGTGCTCTCTGCAGCCGCGGAAAGCCCACTGCAGGGTCAGCTGTGAGTCGGCTTTGACTTGAGGGCATGGAGCAGTAACCACCGTTTGGCACGGAGGGGGGCATACCCCTGACCTCAGCTTGCTGACAGCCCCCCGTCCGCATCTCCCGTGCGTGGCTGTCCTCTCCACGTCTTTTCCACTACTACTGCGTCTCTCTCTCTCCATTTTCTAGCTCAGATTCCTGGCAGCAAAAGGCTAGAGCAGCAGCTCTCCGGGAACAGCTTTTCTTGCCAGACAAGGTCATAAGTTCCTAGATACCTCCAGTTAGTTTAGGTGTCCCTGTCACTGAATCAGTCCGTCTCATTAAGGGTCTTCCTCTCCTGCACCGTCCCTCCACCCTTGCAAATAAGATGTCCCTCTCCAAGGACTGGTCCCTCATTGCAACATGTCCAAAGTATGTCAGACAAAGCCTCAGAATCCTTGACTCCAAGGAGCAGCCTGGTCTCACCCTCTCCAGGACAAACCTGTTTTGTTTCCTAGCAGTCCATGGTATAATCAACACTTTTCTCCAGCACCACAGCTCAAAGGCATCGATTCTCTTTCTATCATCCCAAGTCACTATCCAGCTCTCCAACACATAGTACACAATTGTGAAGACTATGGCCTGAATCAGGCGCACCTTAGTCTCCAGCCTGACGTCATTGCTCTTCAGTATTCTGGAGATATCCCTGACAGTTGACTTTCCCAGTGCAATTCGTCTCTTGATTTCCTTGCTGCTGGAACCAAGAGTGTTGATTATGGAGTCAAGCAAACAAAGAATGTGGAGTGAGGCCTGATGACAAGTTTGAGGAGAAAACCCGGGAAGGACCGTGTTTAGGAGCAATGGATTTCACGAAACTTTGGCTCAAGATAACAGAATGCAAACGAAATTACTTTATATATTTCATTAGAGTTTTAATGTAGTTATTAAATCCATTTTAAGACCTTTATAATAATCTCACCTAGAGATGGGAGTGTCTGGTTTATAGAATCAAATTTGTAACTGTGTGTGTCAGGAA